CAGACCCTTACAATCTCTGAACTAAGCTACTCTCTTAGGATATCTTAGTATTGTACAGATCACCACTTTCTTGAGTCTTCCAGCATGTTAAATGGGGATTATACCAGCCTTACTTATGAGGTTTGCAAGTGTGAATCCAACTGCAGATGCATACTAATAATACCATTATATAATTACTGTCAAACAAACATTATATTATGTATTAAGCTCTGTAACATTGTAAGGAAGTGGGAAAGGACTTTGGATTTTGATAGCTTTTATATCAAAATAAAGATGAAGGGATTGCAGTTTTGGAACTTGTTGATATGCATGAACTCAAGAAGCTCCTGTTCTTTCACTGCATTGCATCTTTCATGGCTATTCTCTTCTAGGACATAGAAAAATGATTCAGCAGAAATTGAAGTTCCTCATTTCTATGCTGCAAGAGTTTGTATTCATTTTCAGGGCAGTTCACAGTTTCAGAAAGATAGTTATTGTTAGCCTGGACCATTCCTGAAACCTGAGATGCCCTGCTGAGGACAGTCCATCAACAAAATCACAGTTGTCCTGCTCCTGTGTAAGTGATGCCTTGCTGTCTTTGCAGCCTGTTAGATTGCTCTGAGAAAATGTATCCCATGTCACTTAGTGCTCCTGAACTCTGAATTTTTAGTTGTTTGCTGCCATCAGGTGTGAGACAATTCTCTTCCTTTTTTCTCCAGATGGCAGTGTTCTCTACATACAGTGGAGGACAGACTCTTAAAATAGTCTGTGATTTCTACTTGTAAAGAGTCTTTTAAAATGTTTTAAATTCTTATACCTGTATTTGAAAATGTGCAATATTACAACTACTATCCAGTTTCAGCAGAAGCATGATTAAGACGTTGGTTATGGTTGTTTTTATTTCCTCTTTTATGTATATATATATATTTAAATAGATTTCATTCTAACATTCCTCCCATGGAAATAGCGTAAAACAATACAAATAGTTAAAATAAATAATCACAAGACTTTTGTTTAGAGTTGCAGCCAATGATTTTCCTGAATTTTGAACTATGAAAAGGTTTTGCAAAGATGACAGACTAAAAGTCTTACACTCCAGCAAGATATTTTGTTTCCAATCAAAAAGGCCAAAAAAGAGCATGGAAAATTTGAAAATAAAATGAACTGTGACACCAGACAACTGCAACCTCCATACCGTGTTGTTTCATATTCAGAGAACTTTGTATTTATTTCTCTGTTTCAGCCTAGAGCTGTAAGTCTGACTAAATTTTAGTATTTGAATTTTTACTCCCCCGGAAATATTATATTAAGTGGTATAAAATGACAAAGTAGTCCTTGGAGCCAAAAGTCATTTTCAGTATTAGATACAAAACTTCTAAAAAATATCAAACAAAAAAAATGACCCAAATGCATTTTTGTTTAATATTCCAGTTTTAGAACATCTTCTTACTTCAGGCAGTCTCAGTGGAACGAATAAAAGGAGAGAACAGGGCTACGTTTCAGTTTAGTTTCACTCCAGTGACCATTGTTTTTCATTTAACATAAAATCTTCTTTCAATTCTGCTGTTTCTTGTGCTCTTTTATGTCCATCAGTTATTTACCACTAATTAAAAATGGTTTTGTGGGTTGTTGTAAAGAAGTTAAACCACCACAGCAAATAGTTTTGGCATTTGAGCTTCCACTCCTCAAATTTCTCCTGAGACACTGCCACTTTGATGAGTGGTTTTTGTTCACCTATTTTCCAGGATACTTCTCAATAAATTCACTGATAAACTAAAACACACTTCTGGGACCAGAACAATAATAATCAGAAGTTACCATATATTTTATTTTGCTTTAGGTTGTAGTCCTTGCTACATCTGTGTTAAATAGACGTTAGTAAACAAATCTTTATGCAGTGAATAGCCCAGCAAGCCAGCCTCAGTCTAATTTTGCAGGTGTTTCTCTAGCCTGATTCATGTTTGAAACTCTTTTAACACTACTTACAATTTAAATACTAGAATTAATGGGAACATACCACAGAAATAAAAACACATATCAGCCTCAGCAATGCCCAGTCATTTAACAGTTAGTTGAGATTTGGTGTATGCTATTTTACATTGCCTTTGCTGGAAATTTCTACTGTGCCATTTAGCACTGTTATCTTTGAATCTTTCTCAAAGTCACTTCTTCCCTGCACACAGTGTCCATTCTGTAGTTACAACCTCACTTCTCTGGTCTACAAGAATGCATCTGACTACAGCAGCATTAACACATAGTTTACTATAATGGTCAATGCTTGCCATTACGAGCTTATTACTATGCATAATGGCTCTGTCCTTGTCAATGCTTATTAAGCCATAACCGTTTTGTCAGAGGTAGATGCCCTGAGTGGTAGTATAATATTGATGCTACTTTATTGATAAGAATTCTGAAGAACATAATACTCTTCTGCTCTGCCTGAAATGCTCCTTTTCAAAGACTATTTCTTAGGTTCTTAGGTTCTAAGCATAATTTCTTAGGTTCTTTTTGAGGTCTCTTAGCTGTATTTATATACATTTTGAACAGGAACTATTCAGAACTCTTTGATAATTTGTTGTGTTCTAGCAAAGACAATTTCTATCTAAAATTTGTATTGCATCTGTACAAATTAATCCAAAGAATTATATAAATTTTAGTCTAGTTATATTTACCATGTATAAAACAGTGTTTACTATCAAAAGAAATGAAATTCCATTCAAACTTTTGATTTTCCATTTCTTTCTTGGGATTATTCAGGTTAATCAATTTCTAATTAACTCCAAAATCAGTCATGGACTCTACTTAAAATAAATAAATAGATAAATAGATAACAAAAAATAGAATTTGAGTCTCAGAGAAAAAGATCCAACAAACACTTGAAAAATATCTAGTTTACAATAGATGGGACTGATGAAAACTGGAAATGAAATGACTAATTTATCTATAATGTGTATATGTTGAACTTTAAACAAGATGCAATGATGAATGTGTCATACTGAAGATAAATTCTATATGCTGTTAGTATGTGAGTGGCACTTAAGATCCCATGAATATAATAATTAAAACCTTGTTAGAAATACTGTAGGCAAGGCAGATTACGCAAAATTAACAAAAGACAATTCTGCAAAAGATGAGTGGATTCAGAGTAAGATTTGTAAGCACTGTAAGAGTAGAACGAGTTACATTCCCAAAAAAGTTCACCGCAAGAAAAGCTCAGTGGAAATAAACTTAAGAAACTTCTTCTAAATGCAGAACCATGTATAGACAAAATAGATACTACAGATGAAACACAAATTGAACTACTGCAGCATTTATGTACGTTATTCAAATATGCATTAGTAATTTTTTTTTTAATATTAGAAATATTTTTGAGTCAACACATACCTTTCTTCTTTTGGAAGCTTTCTTCTTTATATTCATCCTACTGCACTATCACTTACATGGTTGTGTGCAATGAATCAAACCTGGTGCACAGGCTAAGCAACAGTAATTTCATACATAGAAAAATAGGCAATGTACTTATGAGGATTTTGTGGTACTTTCTTGAATATTCCAAGTGTTCTTTTCCATTATTTAAGTACTTACAAAATTGTTGTTGAAAACAGAGTTAGCCAAATTCTACCCAGATGACACTACACATCCATGTATTTTCTCATTCCCTTTGATGAACACCAAGCAGACAATGCAGCCATCTGGTCAGGGAGAAAGAAATTGTGTAAAAATGAGATATGCGTGTGTAAATAAAAGATTGATGAATGAAGCCCTGAAAGCTGAGATGAAAGTGAAGCAGAACAGACAGGTAAATCATTCTGATACTTATGTTAGTGCTGAAATTATGTTCCTCTACTTTCTAGTTTTTTTTTTCCCTGCTGACAGCAGTGCAGGTGACAAAAAATACTTTCAGTTTTGCTGCTGACAAATGCTGGAGGTTAGCAAACTATTTTAGTTCTATTGCTGAGAAAGCATGCTTTTATAAAGAAGCGAGATAAAGTTTTCTTTCTACATTTTTAGTTACTTGAGACATTCTAGTGTTCTGAGAGTTATCTAGCTACGAAGCTCCAACTTCAGCACAACCAACAGAGGAATCTAGGATGGCTTGCTAATACTAAAGAACATTTTAGAAAAGTGTATTGGTTTTGAAGCTGTTCACTTTGACTCAGACAAAAAGGGCTAACGATTTCTTTCAGTTTCAGAAATACTTCTAAGCCAAATTCCTTCCTGAATAAATCTAGAATATTCTGATTTTGAAGTGTGTTTAAATGAAGTAATAATTTTACCTGAAATACAACTGAGATAAAAATCAAGCAGCTCTTTACAGGCAAGATCTGTTTTTCTTACAACAATCTAGTGATATGATATCTAATGCACAGATAGCTTAGAACTTTGAAAAATCTGCTTGATGTGACTTCCATTCAGTCTAGCAGACCTTTGTGATTAGCATTCAAATATCGGTTCCTTTGTCATTATAGATAAAACAAGGGTGGTTTTTTTTTGTTGTTGTTGTTTTGTTTTTTTTAACGTAATAACCTCAGCCAAACTTGTACCACCTACAACGCTGGCTAGAAGAATAAGCAACGTGCAGAACGAACAGGCTGAAGTCTGCATGATGTGACAGTGTAAACTATGCACTACTGTGTGCTGGTAGGAAATTCATGTGTTGTAGTTCCACACCAAGAAAAGAAGACCTATTGTTAGTAACTTATTTACTGCGTGGAGCTGCTTACTCATTACCTTAGCACTAGGGAGAATTCAGTATCAATCAGAATCACTATGTTCTTGTTTTTCATTTTTTACTTTAAACAGTTAAGAGACAAAGACAAAAACGTGAAACTTTATTACTGTGTGAGCAGAGAGGATAGTGGGATTTACTATGCCACTACGTTACCTCTTTTATGGGGATCTTGGACAGGAGTGCCTGAAGGCTGAAAGTAGTAGCATGGCTCTGCGCTCACTTTATTCTTACTCTGAATTGTGTGGTCAAACATACACTTAAATCATAAATTAATAGGAAATTAATGTTTCCTCTGCCCTTATTGGGATTTCTTTCCCCTCTGAATTAAATAAAAGGAGAAAAAACAAAAACAGCCATCAATAACAGCAACCAGTATACATGAGAACACAGCAGCTTGTGAAGCCTTACGCTGCTTTTTTCTCTCCTTCTTCACCAAAGGACTGCTATCCCTTTTTTGCTCACAAGCATCGGAAAAATCTAGCAGAACCACTCTGCGTAAGACTTTTTTATTAAGGTAGTTTTTGCTGAGTACACAGTAGGGTGTGAAGTTGTCAAGAAAAAAATACACTCTGGTCAGAAGACTTAACAAGTAGAAAAGCTAAACATTTTAATGCAGTAGTATGCACTAGTTTCAGATAAATGTGTTCTGATAATTTTGGGCTGTTTCTTCCAAAACAGAAAGTGCTGCTGAAAAATATGCTGTAGAAACATGGTTTACACTGAAAGGCTTTGCAAAATTGTATAATCAGCAAAAACTGAGAAATTCAGCCTGTTTGCTTTCCTTTTGTTCCTCATAGTTATTACTGCCTCATTATACAATCATTTGTATGATGTTTTGGCAGACATTTACTATTGCATAAATTAAAGTCACTGAATCTAGTTCTGCCTACAGGTCTTTATGAAAATACCAGCAACATTTTTATTTGAATGTCAAAGTTTGTCAACCATTAAACTGATGGATTTTTCATTATGCAATTCAAGAGAAGAAGCAATCTCCAGTCTGTATGCAACATTACTCTGAGAAAAACACACATCTTTGAAAAATCCTTCCTGCTTATTTTTTTGTAAGAGTCTCTTCACAAAGGAACTAGCTTCATACATTTTATTAATATGCTAGCAACAGATACGATGCTGTAATTCAGTTCAGTGAAAAATAATGAGTTCATCTGCAGCAATCCAAAAATTCCAGTAAGCCTTTAGAAACCTTTCAACATGGTTTTATAAGAAAAATATCTATTGATTTCAACAAATTATGCTCTGCAGCATGAAGCTGCTGTAGCTTCTGTAACAGCAACCAGAAAGCTCCTTCAGAGAACCATGCAGTATGAGTTTTCCTGGAGGAACAGCCCAGCTTTGGGCAAAATTAATAAAGTTTAGAGAAGAACTTCAATCTTATTTAGTTTTCAGTCATCTTTTGAAGATCAGTAAGGATGACAGCCACATAAAAACCTAGATGAAAATGAAAACTCACCTCAAATTCCTACATAACTTTATAGAATGACTACACTTATGTCCAGCCTTGCATTCAGCTTTCCCTGTCCAGAAGAGCTCGTCAGTGCTGGTTCAACACTTCAGCTCCTGAGCAGCTAAAAAGAGCAAGCACAAGCTGATCGCTGAGGTGCCCTAAAAGCACGTTCCACTCAGCAGCAACTACCTTGGTCAGAGAAGTCACTATTTGTCGCAGCATAGTTTTTACAAGATTCAGAGGAGCCACACAAAAAACAGGCCTTCTCTTGTGCCACTCTGTGCTGCACTGCATCACAAGTTTTGTTTACTTGTTTATGCTATATTCTCCCAAGAAGGAAGCAACATGGTGAAGTGTAGTCACCTAGGAAGGAGGAGAATTGTTTCTGTCTGGTGAGCATCCACCATCAGCTGCGCAGGGAACTCCACAGCCTCCACAAGCCCATGAGGCACAACATGGTGTGTGCAAAAAAACTGTTCAAAATAGAGGTAGGGAACTGGCAGCACTTAAATATATTTTCTTTAATTTCTTTTGCTACCCATTTGCTAAGCATTATTTATTGGCTCAGTACCATTAAACAACCTCCTTGATCATCTGTTTGACTCAAAGGCTAAAGACTATAGAGCACACAGTGAAAAGTTTAATTCAACCGGGACATTACAGAGCATATTGATTTTTGTTAGTGGTACCCCACCGTTCTTATTTAAAAGCCTGCCCAGAATAAGAAATCATTTACACAAATAAGATATTATAAATGCTCAGGCTGTGCAAAAAGAAAGCCATAGAACTCATTGTCCTTACAGAAGAGATGACATGAAGTACAAAATTCAGCAGTTATTTTGCACTTTGTAACCACATCCACATAAGCGATGAGAAACTGAAAAGTGCTGCATAATTATCTGATTTATAAGCAGCATCACAGATACAATTTGAATAAACCTGTGATTCATTGTTAGAACTCAAAGTTTGTGCTGATTTGTGAAAGCTTATTTGTGAAACACAGGTAATGTTACACTGATAGCTAAAAATATATACACACACATATATATATACATCTATACATATATCTATCTATATATATAATCTGCTACACCATCATGTTATGTTTTTCTCTAAGAAAATCATTTGCACCTCTACTCAGTATAACTGCTCCCCATTTTTACAGTTACCATTAACACAGTTCCTTTTCCTTCTCAAACTTGCCTATTAATTTTATACTTTACTGACCTCTCAAAAGGTTTAAAAAATATGTCACTATTTTACATCTTTTTACTGTGACATTAAAAAGGAAATTAGTCAACCAAGTTTATTCAAGAAACACGTGCCAGAGCCAAGAAATGAGCCCATTTTTCTCACATTCCAAGTTGATACATTACCCACTTCTTTCAGCTGCACTTCATTTGAGTTCTGCTTTGTCCCTTCTTTGTTGAACTCGTGCACATGCATTTTCCTGACATCACTTCAGGCATGATGCCAGAATAGACAATCTGAAGAGATTTTATACGAATCAACTTCTAAAATGTATATTCTACGCAGTGTGCATTTCAAGCAGTTTCTGGGAATAGCTGAGTATGTCCCGCAAATGTAGCTGAGCTATTAGCTTTTACAATTTTTCTATTTTCATTTTGGACTGGAAGTTGGGAAAATAACGTGAGGTCTTCTGGCTTATAACTTATATGGAAGGAAAATGCAACCATAAAAGTACAATTATCACCAAGAGTAACTTATTTTACAAAGGCTGCCTTGTTATGATTGTGGATTGCATTTTTTTGTTCTTCATAAAAGTATTTATTTTTGTCTTAAAAACGTGAGAAAAAATGAATAAGCCATTTTTAAAATTCAGTTTTGTGTATTATATCAGAATCCAACTACAGAACATGAAAAATACCACATGACTAATTTTTTTAAAGTTATGGTAAGAATTATATAATTATCTCTGAATGATCTACAAGTTTAAAATTCTTCACTGAAGGCTGAAAGCTAGGGCTTACACAAATTTTTGAATAGGAAAACAGGCTGAATTCACAACAAAGGACTCAACCACAACTAGCAGTGGCTTTCATGCTACTGAAAAATTACCAGAAAAAATGTTCTGTTCGATTGGTCTGACAGCTGGTCTCTCATAATGATTAAATGGATTTGCCTTGGGTGAGCTCCAGAAATATGCTTGGGTTTAAATTAGAGTAGATTCAATAGTCCACACTGGCTATTATAAAGTTTCTTACCAACTCATTAAAACATAGCACGGGAGCATTTAAATTTATTTGAGATGAATCTTTCAAGCTACCCTTTTCCAGATCTTGAGTTTCTAGGACAGCGTTGCCCAGCAATGAAACATGTTTCTCAGCCTGGCCATTCAACTCGGTTACAGAATTGCAGCTTCCTGACAAAACAGCAGACTGGTTTTATGACTAGTGAACTAGGCCTTGAAGCATCTAATTTCAATGATGTTATTATCCAGACGTTTCATCATTGTGCTACTGAAGACATGCTAACCCAACAGTTTCAGAATTGAGAAAACAACTGCTTTCTATGGAGAATCATTTCTTGGTCCAACACTGTGTTTCGGGCAAATGAAATGGAATAAGATAAAGCTATCAGTATCAAACTACAGAGATAGGTTTCTGAAGCTGGAGCAGCTGAAAAAGCTGAAGCCACATTTGTTAGCTACAAATGGTGATTGCTATCATGCAGTAACACCTCAGAGAAGACACTCCTCTGTTTGAGAGGACAGATGGAGAATCCACAGCCTTTGGCATGTCCCACTTACTGAAGTGTTAAATGCAGAGAATGGAGCAACAGCACTAAAGCCTTCTCCAGAGACCCAAATATATATTAACAGCTAAAGAATAGCGCTTCAGAATGAAGTATGAGGTCCTGAAAAGCTGTCTCTAAAAATGTGGATGTTCTGAGTTTTCCTAAAAATTAGTATTACCCATATTAAAAAGTACAATTTCCTTGCACCATGCCTCTTGTGGTAATAAAAGATTGTCACTAAGAAAGTATTTTAAATCTATTTGATGCTTAAACCTTTAGAGTGAAAAAATATCTCACAGTTAATAGAAAAACATTAAAACCAGGTAAAGATAACGTACTACTGAATTCAGTACACTGGCCAGATTAATTAAACAACCAATCAAAAAAAAAAAAAAAAAAAAAATCAGCACTCGCAAATAAGCTCTTCACCAAGATTACAGCTAACCTACATAAAACTGCCATTTGAACAGCATTTTATACACTGGGAGTCAGCCATTGTCTACTCAGCCATTGTTTACTCAAATATATCTGGCCTTGATATACATTCAGGTTGATACCTTCCATATTAGTGTCAATGTATACAAGTAGTTTAAAATATACCGTTTGTTAAAACTGTGACAAGAGGAGGATTTTCTATTAAAGTGTCCTCTGATCAGAACTCCATACAGTGAACAACTGCATTTTCCTGATACTCCACTGTCAACTTGCTAAATCTCAAATGTCACTGAGATTTACAACATTTCTGCCAAGCTTCCCATCCAGATTTTGAAGAACCAGTCACTGCTACAAACAGAAACTGGCAGCCTGTAAATAAACATAATATTCGAATTGCTAATGAGCTCAATTTACAACCAAAGTAATTTTGGGGCTTGTGATGAGGCTGACATCAGTAATTCCATGTGGCTGACCATTTCCTACCAGTTACCTCCACAGCTGAAAGTGTCCACCTACATTAATTGTTGTCCCATTAAAAAAAGTATACTTTAAATCATACACAACTAAGGTAAGCTTTTTATCTGATTACTGAGGTCATCATACTACCAAAGTGTGTTGCAGAAAATGAACTTTTAAGATTTGGTGTCTCAAACTTCTACTCTTACAACTACTTCCAAATCTTACTAAAATACTTGGCTTTACTACTTACCAAAGGAACGCAAGCAACTCCATCAACATTACCACCCTTCCACATACTTTTGACAGCTTCGGTAATAGCAAGTAATTCTAATTTTTGGACACCGTATAGTGGTTGATTTCTGCAAAGGTTTAAATGACAAACTTTTATGAGTTATTCATTTTGTCACAGTAGCTATTTGTACATGTTTATAAACACACAGAGAGCTATATGTACTGTAAGAACTCAGCATATACACAAAAACATCAATTAGGTTTTACAGTGTGACTTCAATATTAAACTTGAAATAAGAAATTTAGCCAGCACATTGATCATACAGGAATTACATTCATAAATGCAATACGTTTGTATTTTAGGAACTTGGGCTGCCGGAACAGCAGAAGTGAAATTAAACAAGAAGGCACAGAATCTTAAAGGAAAAAAAAAAAAAAAAAAAAAGGATCATCATCAGCAGACAAACCACCAGAACCTACAGATCTTACTGATTATTTAGGAGTGAACAGAACATTCGTTATGGCAGAAAAGTCAGGAGAAACATCTCTATTGCTGCTGCTATTTATATTCATAGCAATGGAATAGTTGCTTTGATATCAGATTTCTTCCTGTTTAAGGAGATGGAACTTTTCTTTTTCTTAAGGGAGTGAGTTGTTTGTTTGGTTATTTGGTTTTTCAAAGGACTTGGCTTTATGGTTACTACTATTTCCATAACATGCATATTGACAGAAAGCACTGCAACAAAAGAACAAGGTATGAACAATCATAATACTGGTGAAGAGTTAACAAGTATTTCACAAAGAAAAGCTATGCTTCAAAAATCTACAGAAAATTTTGAGGAGTCTAATTTGATGGTTACAGAACAGCCAGGTGATAGTGATGTTAGCCTTCCCTGAAACTTCAAGCAAGACCCCTTAGAAACTCCTGAAAAAACACCAAACCTAATCATGACAGTGAGAAAAAAAAAATAGGAATAGTCTCAAGTCTGAGTAGTTGAATATGCTCAGAAATGATTTTAAGAAAAGGAGTGTGGAAGTTTGCTGCTGGTAGTAAACTGTTAATGTGAAAACCCAAAATGTACTGCAGAGGATTATACAAAAGACCTACAATAGTAACTAAGCAGTAAAATGCATGATCAAGGATGGACAAATATAACCACAGATAAACAATCAAATAACACTCTCAGTTCTACTGTAAACTCTTCAGTCCAAGTGTCAGCTACTGTTCCGTTTATAAGGTTTTTTCTAATTGTTGTTGCCTCAATTCCCTAAAGCATAAAAGGTTTTTACCACCCCCCTCCAAATCCATCAGCAATTAGAAATTGTGTAATCTCACAGAGCAGAACAGTAAAATAGAAGTGCAAGACAATTGATCTCAAAGCACGGAGGTTACAATGCTCTCATTTTATCATCCCCCTCCCACCACAATAACCTTTTTTAGCTGTTTCCATCTTTTTTTCCTTCTTTTCCACCACATGTGGAAAGCAGGTAGTCGATGTTTTCCCAGTGCCAGGTGGAAAAGTGTTGAGACAGCAATCTTCATCTTTTCAACAGCTGAGAACAGGGACTATAAGCAACCCAGTCTCTTTGCATGAAAACATTATTTTAATATTTCCTACTTGTCATTAATCAATAGATCAAGCAAACTGTACTTGAAATTAAGTTACTGCAATTCACACTGCTGATGTACAAAGATTTGGCTAGCTAGCACCTACCCGCCTTTTGCATTTCCAATATAGGAGCTGAGAGTGCTTGGACTTTCTGAATCAGCAAGTCTGACATGAAGATTTTCTTTTTCCAGGGGTCAATTTTCCCATTGATGCAAGGAGGATTTACACATGCAAGTCCCATTAACATTAATAGGAGTTACCTACATAAATCCCCCAGCAATGATAGGCTAAAAGACCCCATAGCCTGCAAGGATCCAAGTTCTAATGATTACCTGTCAAATGGCCCTAAGCATCATCATCACCAGAAAAAAGCAGACGTAGCAGCTTCATAACCGAAAATACTTCTAAAGGAAGGGTAACTAATTGCCATCACAGAGATAATGCAACACAACAGCAGAAGGGAAAATGGCATAAAATTGACTGTTTGAATATTAAGGGTTAACCCAATTAACCAAGTGAAAAAGAAAGTACTCATTAAAAAAGGAATTCCAACATATCAAAGCACTCCTCAAAAAAAAAAAAAGTGTGAATATTGTATGAGCTCCAAGGTGCTTGAAGGATAATACAGCTACTTGTTTAAAAATTCAATTAACCTTATCTTTCTTTAACTTGATTTATTAATAATCCTACAGATAAATTGCCAGTTTTTAAAAAGTCATGTTATCTTTTGAATACATCCTGTATGACAAGCCTTAAAAACTACTTCAAATAAGCTTAACCCTCACTTTGTATGCTTAAATCATTTACAGCAAGAACAAAATGCAGTTCTGTAAAATAAAAAGTGTTATCTACTGGTACTGCAAGTAAGCTTGCAATTGGGTACTCAAGTAGCATAGGAAAAGCACTTTATGTTTCCATTTACCACAAGAATAAAGCATGAAAACATTTTTAAGCAATCAATGTAGTGTAAAGTCATAACCTATAACTTGCAGATTATTCTGTCTCATCTAAAATCACTTTTGCAGGATTACCAAACTTCACTTCACATGGACATTAACTACTAAGATGTTACTTTTAAAAAATTTGTTATTTTACATAAAACATTTTATGTAAACATACTGTCAACACACATTAAACTTCAATGACATTACAGCTGGCAACATGCTGAAAGTAAAGAACAAAATTATCAGAAAGTTTCTGCTAGCAAATGAACTGCTTTTCTTGTTTGGTTGAAAGAAAACACACAAAAATGCACTTGCAAGCAAACCTTTAATTTTCATGACAATTTCCTTGTAAACATAGAAAATGAAAAATTCAACTATGATCCCCACTACCAAAAGACAAACAGGTATAGGGTCCTCCACTTCCACAAATCTTTAGATGTTAAATACAATTACTAGATACTCATGCTTTCCAATACACACAAAGTAATTACAGTTAACAAAGAATAAGTCGCTTAATAATATAATATATATAACTGCTCAATGACAAGCATCCAAAGATAACTGTTGTTTAACACCGGTAACATTTTAATGACATTTTTCTGGGGTCTTTGGGATTATATGCACAACAGTGTCTATCCAATATGCAAGGAAGGTAAACACTAAAAAACTAGTTTTTGAAATGCAAATTGGACAACATATTATGATGCAAGCCAAAGTTAACTGTATCAGTCATGCTGTAAAAAAATAAATAAATTAACCTTTATGGCACCAAGCCACTTTAAAGGCAGGCACATGCACTTTAAAACTCTACAAAAATTTGGTCGTGTCAGGTTCAGACAATGCTGAATATTCATCACTTAATGGCATTCTTATTCACACACTCTGTTAGCACTGCCAGAACTACATCTAAGTTCAGGTGCAAGCTTGAACTCTGTCTCGTCAGAATTCACTGATCTCTCTATTTGGATGCACTGTTAATCTGGTGTATGTTTTCAGGTAAATCTTAAAATAAACGCTAAATTGTTTTTCATAGTCTGAATGTTTAACTTCAAGCACTGTTCAGAAGAAGTGCAAGTCTATCCTGGTCATTTACAACAGCTTTCTCATTCCGTAACTCTTCATATAAACTACTGTTATAAATAGTTTAATAAATTTTATCGTATAAATGTTTTATGATTATAATTACAAAACACAGCATGTACAGCTATCACACTAGTTTTAATCCCCTTAACTGGGATCAATACAAACCTTTAGAATTAGCAGTTGAACCTTCTCCTCAGCAGGTTTACCTTCTCTGCAGGAACACCTCAGTTCATCGCTAAAATGCTCAGACATCGTACTTGCAAACAAACAATTACTGGCTTATGAGAGGTCCAAACACTACCATAAATCCGGGGAAGATAACAATAGTTATGCTCAGTAGATGAGTTTGAATTTTGTTGGGAAGTCTAGCATTCAGTTTGAATTTGTGCTACAGAAAATAAAGTATCTGGTAAAAAAAGTGTGATTATGCAATCTTCTAAAGGGAAAGCATTCTGAATGTAAGAACTGTTCCCTGTGTGGAACATCCACTGAACTATACTTATTTCTAATTCATGGCTTCAGTTTCAAAACCACTAATTTTTTTTCCACTATGCAAATTAAACTTGACATCTCATGTATTACAACGCCATTCCAGAACTGTCAATATTATCACCTTTAAGATTCTTTCCTAAAAAGCAATCTGAATTACAGATAATTAAGCTGACATTGAACTAGCACAGGCACAATGACTTTTAGCAGAACTCCGACACTTTATAACAGAAGGTGATCCTCTTACTAGTAAGCAACCTTTCATGATCTTGCAGTTAGTTTTGACTTCACTGTCTAAAAGATAGAGGATTCTTTCCAAGATGTAAACCAAAACCAAATTATCCCAAAAAGTAATTAATTATATTTTAACATCTTAAACTCAAATACTTTGTTTCATAACTTTTATCTTATTTCAGCTATTAACACCCCTGGACCAGTTAGACTTATGACTTTACTGAGCAATAGCTAGTAATGAAGCTATTTGAATAAGAAAGATTATTCAAGCCAAGGAAAGTAAGGCAATCACAAATAGTATCACCAAGGGTTTTTTTCAACCTCCTTTTTTTTTTTTTTTTTTTTTTTTTCCCCCTTCCTCCCTTCAAGTTCTGCCAAGTGCCTCTTCTGTTATGAGAACAGAGCTAATTCATTCCTCAGTATGCTCTTTAACACCAGTACTACCTCTGCTACTGCTTTCCTGAAGTGAGGATTCAGGTTTTGTCTCTGGTGAATTATTGAATCCTGTCTCTTCTGATGCAATCTCATCTTCATCATAAATAATATCTTCTGGATTTGGTGGTGCTGGACAAAATTCCTCTGTAGGAAACATTTCCTGGAAAACAGTCTCAGCCTATTAAAGAAAACAAACATAGTAAAACAACTATACCTTGGAATGTAATACCTTATGTAAGCATTGTGCAGAAATTTAAATTATCTATTCTTTCAGATCAATACTGACTTAATATTTTGCAGTTTTGTAAACATATTCTGCTATTGTCTAA